GGAATACAGGTAGCAGAGGCTAGGGTTTCGCCTCACAGCAAAACCCTAGCAGAGCTTCGACGAAGGAGAGCGAAACCCTAGCAGAGCTTCGATGAAGGAGACGACTCCGACCATACTGTATATATTAATCTTGTGTATTTCTTTAGCATAACCCATTTGTGTAATTTTGATAAACACTTTTGTCTTTTTATTCTCTAAAATGTGTCCTGACTTTCATTATTCCCAAAATAATTCAGAACAGTTACATTTTTACACAATATGAAACTATGAAGACTTTTACCAAATTTTCCTTTTTTTTCATTCTTCTCATTTCTCTTAACCTTGTCATAGTTATGATCAACATTTCAATGTCTTCGAAATATAATGCATTGTTATTAATCAAATAACTAATTTTCGCAAATCAAAATCATAACCATAGCAAATGACAGCAAACCAAATAGCATAGAAATCACAATTTTACCTTGAAAAGGAGATTGCAGAGTTGATATCCTTTGCAAAAAGGAAGAGTTCCTTTGCCTGCTCCAATCGTAAGATAGCGAACCATAAAACTCTTCCATGCCCACCACGCCTTCTCTAAGATAGTAGCTTCCTTGCAGAGTCCAAAGCGCCCAGTCTACATCAAGTTCAGCCGCCAAGCCAAGAAAGCAACCAAAGTAGCGGTTGTCATTGGTGTTTGTGCCTCTTTGATCAATTCCGAACTCACTTATGAAGAGGGGCCAGCCCTGGCTCACTAGGAATCCCGCCCTTCTCATGACGCTAGATGAAATGGAGCCACAGACTTGGTTTGGGCTGCCACTTTGCCAAGCATTTCCATTAGAGAAGGCATACCAATGCAGCTCAAATACAAGCTTTGAAGGAAAGCTTAGCTGAACCTGCTTATTTGAAAGGAAGCTCAGATCATTGTCGAAACTTAGGCCGGAAAGTATAACAAGGACGTTTGGATTAGCGGCATGCACTGCCTCTGCACCTCTTTGCATGTATCTGGATTATTCATCTCAAGAA